AAAGTATTAGTTTTTTCTTTTTATCTAGTTCTACTTAATAAAAAGTAACTTTAATTTCTTTTTCTTTATTCTTATTAATATAAAATATAAATAGTAAAGCATTTATATTAAAGTTAGGAAATACTAGAAATAAAGTAAAATATATAGTATTTTTTAAATCTTTAAATACTTTTAGGTAATTTTCGGGAATTAAGCTTTTATTAAGTAATAACTTCTTTATAAATACTTTCCATAGCTTCTTTTTAATTAGAGCTTCTTTAAATCCCGTTATTTTAAGCTTTTATAATAATTAGGATATTCTTATATAATAACTAATATACTTATAATAATATCTAAAGAAGCCTAAAGCAAATTCTAGGTAATATAGGGTTTTAGGAAATTCTAGAGTTTTAATTACTTTAATTTTCTTTTCTATTATAGCTAGGCTATACCTAGAAATATAATATTCTAGAATATTAAGATCTAGTTAAGTAAAGTAATATTTCTAAAGAAAAAAAGTAATACTAAAGTTTTATAATAAGTAAAAAGTTATATATAAGTAATTAATATAACTTTTAATTAATTTAGAGAAAATAATAATATTATTAATATAGACTAGAATAAACTTTTATAAGAATAAGCCAAAAATCTTTTTTATTTAATATTAAAAAAATACTAGTAATATAGAAAGGCCTATAGTACTTTTTATTATTCTTTCTAGACTTTTATAAGATATTATAAAAGAAGTTTTTTATTTATCTTTAGGTTATAAAAGCTATTAGAAAAAGCTTTTAATTATATTTAAGATTAAGAATATAATAGTATTACTTATTTATACGAAAATATCTTCCTATTTAAGTAAAGAATATATATCTAGGTAAAGTTTAGTATTTATTTTATAAAGATTTACTATAACTTTAGCCTTACTATTTCTTTAGATAATAAATATAAGAGATATTACTAGACTAAATTCTCTTAATAATATATTTTTAATAATACCGGCGGCTTTTAAGAAATTAAGGATTTTATTTATAGCTTAATAATCTTTTAAAAATAAATTATATGAGGTTTATTTAAGATTATTAATAAAAGTACTATTTTTAAAGAAAATAGATATTATAATCTTATTATTAAAATAGCCTAGCTTTTTATAAAAAAGATTTATATATTTTATAATAATAGCTCAGATCTTACTAGTAAACTCTTTTCCCTAATAATCTAATATATTTACTTTCTTAAAGTCTATTTTTAGGTTCTTTAGAAAATTAATAAGAAATAGATACCCTAATAAATATTTCTCTTTAGGATTATTAGAAGTAATTAGAGGCAGTTCCTATAAAATATTTATAATATTAAGGAAGCTTTTAACTATTTTTGAAAGAGATATATAAGCTTAAAAAGTTTCGAGAAATATATTTTTCTGGATTTAAATAAGGGCTTTACTAAAATTTATAAATAGAATTACTTTTTTATTATTATTAATAATTATATTAATTAATAACCCAAATTTGCAAATTACTAGGTTAATTATAATAAAGTTTAGGTATACTAGATATCCTAATATTAACTAGGGAAATTACTAGTAATATACTTTTAGATTAATACTATAGCTAGAAGATATAATCTATATCTCTAGTATATAGATATTTATTTATGTCTTATAAAGCTTAAAGTTATTATTTCTAATATAAATATATATTTTCTTATTTTAATAAATAAGAATATTAGACTTTAATAGTATTATGGCCTAATAAAGATTTATCTTATACTTTTTTAGGAATATTATATTTAGAAATATACTATAAAATAAGGTATTAATAATATAGATTTCTTTCTTAAAATAGATATATTTATTTTTTATTATTCTAAAAAAGAAAGAAAATATAATAAAGTATTATATTTCTAGTTCGGGCCTAATACTTAATAGGCCTATAAATAATATAGTAATAAGAATAAAAATATTAGAAAAGAAATAATAAAGAATTACTCGAGAAATAAGTATTAATAATATACTTATATTAAAATAAAATAATTTGGGCTATAGCTTTTTATTATATAAAGTTACTTTTATATTTAAGATTATTTTATATTTCTAACTAAATATAAAAATAAATATATAAATAGAAATATAAAATAATTTTCTTTTAATAAATTCGGGAAATATAGTAATATTAGAGATTATATTAACTAAAACTTCTCGCGAGATATTATTTCCTAGTAATTATATATCTTATTTCTCGTATTCTTAAGCTTAGATTCCGGAATAATAGGCTCAAATATGTTTTTTATAAAATACATATAATAATATACTTTATTTCCTTATATATTAAGGTACTTTTAGTATAGATCCTTATTAATAGTAATTATTAGTTTAGAGGCTTTAAAGTTATTTGCGAAATATATTTATATAATATAGTTATTTAGTATAACTACTATATTACTTTAATAAGCCTCTAATTTCTACTTATATAAAAAGTATTAAGGATTAATATATAAAGAATTACTATAATAGATATATAAATATAGCTCTTTCTTTAGATAATCTAGTATACTTATAAATAAGAATTAAGTAATATCTAGAGCTAGGAAAGGCTTTTATTATTCTTATATAATATACTAATTAGTCTAATATCTAGCTTTAGAAGCTAGAAGCTATTAAGCTATCTTAAATAGTATTTAATATAAAAGCGGGTTTATAAAAAAAGTAAATTAATTATTTCTAAAGTTAAATTAAGTCTAAGATTAGTAATTATATATCTTTAATATATCCTTAATTTAATAGTATTATATTCTTATAAAAAGTTCTATATTATAAATCTTTATATTAAACTTTACTAGGATATTCCAGAAATTAGAGAACTAAATAATAATAGCTAAGATAAGATTAAGGCTATTATATAAATATCTAATAATTAAATACTTATTTATTTCTCTTACTTTATTATATAGCTATATTTTCTTAGTAATATATTAGTAAATATTAAGTTTTAATTTATTCTTAAAGAAATATATTAATCTATTTACTTTTTTTAGAATAAGTAAAGTATTAGCTTAAAATCGAGCTTATAATTAGTTTATATATTTATTTAGGGACTTATTTATATTCTTATATATATAAGTAAATAAGTAATTAAACTAAATCTAGATATCTCTAATTATAGCTAGAGAAAATACTACTAAAATAGTATTTTTTTTATATATATTTACTAGGTACTCGAGCTAATTAATATATAATATTATGAGTATAATAAGTAATTTACTAAATTAGATTTCTAAAGTTTAGAGTTTAATTTTTATTAAAATAAATAAGGAAATATATTTCTTATTCTTAGATTATTTATAATTACTATAATAGCCTCTATAATAATAGCTATTCTTTTACTATTTTTAGAAAGATTAATTATATTTATAATATTAGTAATAATTATTATTCTTATTAAAGCTAGATTCTAATAAAGAAATATTTTAGTAATATTATAAGTATCTAAAATTCCGATTTCAAGAATATAATCTTAAAATATCTTACTAATTACTTTTATTATATCTAGACTTATTATTACAAGAAGAAATAGCTTTATAAATATTCTTATATTATTTATATAATTTATTATTATCTAGAGAGCTAAATAAATAAAGAATTTCCTCTATTATTTTAGTAATACTATATTATTTATTAGTATATTAGTTTATTCTAGTAAAATTCTATTTATATTTACTAAACTTACTATTATTATTATTAAGCTTAATAAGGCTATCTCGGAATTATATTAGAAATCTCGCAAATAATACTAGTAATAAGGCTAATAAGTTTTAGATATATATAATTATTATAGTAAGTTAGTATAGCTTGGCTTTCTTTTAATTATTTATAAGAATAAATATAATATAGCTATCTCGAATATTATTATTCTAGAATAAAGTCTATAAATATAAGAATTCTTTATTTTTAATCTTATTATTTATAGTAATAATAAAAGCTATATTTCTTTTATAGCTTGCCTTAGAATATATTATCTTATATATATTCTTGTAAAATAAGTCTCGGTCTTAACTAGTTATTGAGTTAGACTTATCTATTATTACTATATTAGTAAATACTATATATAATTTAGGTTATCTAATAGAGAATAATAAGTTTATACTAAGATATTATTCCGAGGCTAGTCTAGGAATAATAGAAAGTAGTAAAGCTCTAGAGAAGCTTTTTAATACCTATATAGGACTAGAGGCTAAAAGTAAGGAAGTAGGTTATTATTACCTAAATACTATAAACTATAGGAGGACTAGAAGTAATAGAGGGCAAAATAAGAGTACTTGTTCTCTTTTTCTAAGGTTTCGAGATTAGAAAGGGTTTCTGGGTTAGGGTTATTTAATATTTCTTCCGTTTCAGTACTAGAGGGGCTTAACTAGATTTAAAGCAGATCGAGTTCTTAATACTTATAGCAGTTTGTAGTTCGCCTGGGTATTTTATTCCGATATTACTAGAGGAGGAATAGTAGCTGGGGTTATATCTGCTTCTTTTTTAATAAAGCAGTCTATAGTAGGGTCTCTTTATCACATGAAGCGGGTTATACTCTACCGCCTTCCTGGCTTCGAGTAGTAATTAATAGTATGAGAATCACGGATCCTTAGCCCTTATCGGGGATAACTGAGGAAGAAGGGGGTTATTAGTAGGACCTGGACGGTCGTTCTGACGTCGTCGTGAGACGTTCCCCGGGAGTCTTTTCGGATCGGTTTCGAGGGAATCGGTGAGGTGGATTCGGTCAAAACGAGGGCATTGCCACCATATTATGGGATACGTAGAGGAAAAGAAGGGGTCTGGACGACGGGGTTCTTGTACTCTATGTGTATTCGGTATTGCGGTGACTCTGCAGAGAGAAGCTCTCGAGTCCCGAGGGTCTAATCTAGGTTTCTAGCTGGCGTGGTTGCCTTACGTACCAGGCCACAACAATGCATCCGAGATGGTGCGCGACCCTGCCTCGCAATGGCGACGAAGTCGTACTTCTCTCGAAAACCTCTAGCTAGCTTGTGAACATGACAGCTGTTGTGAACAAGACATCGGCAGTGGTGATGACATCCTCAAGTGCACGCTTGATCAGGTTCTTTAGGTCTGCAACCTCGTCTGGGTCGCGCTCGTTGACTGGTGTATTCAAGATGGCCGACAGTCGTTGGTGCATCTCACGCAGTTGGATGAGCTTTGCCTTTTTCGTCGGGATCAAACCAGCCATCTGCAGAACAGCCTTCGCAGCGGATACAGAGAACAGTTATTTCGATCCTCGCTTGGGTTTCGACGAGGCATTTGTGTAGTTCGTGTGGTCATCCAACTCTTGCGGTGCGTCGACATTTCCAACCACTCCACATGCAGACGCGGCGCGATGTACTTATCTTGGGCGTCGTGCTTACGCAAAGTCTCCTGGAACCTGTCGCAACCACTATTTAGCGCATCATTGGTCGTTGAAGCAACAACGGGCACACAGTCGTTGTCGAGATTCATAAACACAATCTCCAGGATATGGGATGTCTTGCCAGATCCCCGCACCGACACCGAGCACAACGCCACGTGGGTCCTTGGGAAGTATTTGCACGAGCCCTCCTCTCGCCATGGGTGTACAGAGTCGAAGATAGTGGCGTACTTTTTATCTTCCGGGAGCCCACAAGTGAAATCTTTTGTCGTTTCCTTGGCGACTGCGATGCTAAGAAAGATGGCCCTCTGGGTCGCAAAATCGAAAGGCAGACACGTGGATACAAAGGCTGCTCGGCACTTTGGCTCCTTAGCATAGTTGTGGTTATCTTCCCATCGTCGGACAATGGGGTGTCGAAATCCTGGGAAACCTGATCTTCGTCCCACTCCAAGATACGCTCGTCGAAATTGTCATCAGAGTTAACGAATTCATCCCCGTCTTCGGTATTGAGACCATTGGCGCAAGCGATGGTCTTGTTTCTCGGATCCATGAGAGTCATGGCCTAGATTCGAGCTTTGACGGCCTTTCTCGACTCGCGCAACTTGAAGTACGCTAGATGGTATGAAATCTCGACGCCCCATTTGTCGGGAGGAGCAATAACGTGAATAGGAGCCTGACCATAATCAAGGCAAACCATGGCATGGCAACCGAAGGCGAGATGGCTACTGGTATGGTAGAAACGGTCAGTCTCGATGACAGTGGCCTGCCAACAGTGGGGATCTCGAAGCTTGCGGTTTCACCAGGCTTCTTGTTCGGAGGCTCCACGAATAGCATCTCAAACTCGTCTTCTACCGAAAAACATATGGTGCCATCAATCCCAGGATTCCTGGGGCTAAATGACATGAAATGCTCAGACTCGTCGCCTGCCTGTACTTGAATCCGCTGTGCTGCGTGCCACTCGTCCATTAACCGCTTTTCGTGCTCGAAGATGTGCAGGTGCTCTCGGGCAGTGCCGCGACAGTGTGGAATCGCGAAATCAGTCCAAGACTCGTGCCGGAGTTGCAAGCGATAAGTGAGCTGCTATCCTTCCACGTTCGGGTGGTTATTGCAGTACTTGCGGAGTACCTCTGCATTGAACTGAGTCCTACACATCACGTCAGCTGGAATTCGCTACAACACCATTAAAGTTGGCACTTACTCGAAGTCAGGTCAGTCCGTTCGCGGAAGTGACGATTCAAGTTAGGCCCCCGACCAAGTGTTGCGAAGGTATAACCCACATCCCTGAGGAGATGATGGAAGAAGTTATGGTCCCTCAAGTACTGTACAGAGTCCGGAGGCCATTTAGTTTGACATTCGGCAGAATGAACCCCATCGACTCTGACGCCCCGGTGAATGGATAATTTCGCCATGGGTACACCAATGACGTATGGTGCTTTGTCCCGATACAGGTGGAAACGAACTGCAAGGATCATGTCGTCGACGTGCCTCTCGATATTATCTCCTCCAGCGACTGCCAGGGCAGCCCTGTCCGGGACATCTGGTAGAGCTCGGGAAAGGTGAAGTTTTCGTCATCGCTAAGAACGCGGTACGATAGTTGGAGAGAACCTTTCTAAATTTGTCCTCCACCCTGTGGGTACTGTTGACGTTGGCTGGCTTGTCGTTGGTGTCCGCCTGCTTGCCCTTGCCAGATGTCTTCGCCTTCTCAGACTTGGCATTGCGTTGTTGATTATTTTCGCTTTGATCTCCCTTCTCGACCGAGAAAGTGAATTTGGACTCAGCACGCGGGATGTTGACAGTGAAGCCAACGTATTGAGGTTGCTCTGCTGGAAAACCACAGGAGAAACTAATCGACGGGACCTGCGTCGTGCGATTAGAGTTGCTAAACGAGCCAGCGAAGAACTCGCGAGACTTGTATACAAAGCCCAACAAACCGACTCCTTTCTCGTAGGATCGATTGTTGAGCAATTTGGCGCCTGAGACGTTGTCATCTTCTTGATCTACTCGCTGCTCATTCGATGATTGCAACGCCAACAAGCTTGTAGTCTCGAGCCTTGGCTACTTCCTCATGATTTCTTTTCCTCTCCTGCAAAATAGACAGACAGATCTGCGATATGGTTTGAGTGGAAATTGGTGTGCAGCGGGTGGAGTTATGGTTAAATCAAACAAGGGATGGTTCGCAGATATTGTCAAGTTTTGTCTGAAGGGCTACCAAAACCTCATATTCCAGAATAACAAGTATGACTCGCGGGCTGATGTCTGGAAGAAGTACAATAGATACAAAAACAGTGTGCCCCTGCCAATCCCTGCAACATCCCTGTTTTGCTCGCGTAGCATTCTTAAAACATGGGTGTACGCCCAAAGGGGAAATGACAGGAGGCCAACTCTGATTAGAATACATAAGCACTGTCACGGCCTGGACAAGCTGTGGAAGTGGAATGTGGTGTGTATTGTGTAAATATGTATGAATGATGGTGCCCTAAGGGCGGTGAAGAAGCTATATATATGCCTGTGCGCAGCACGTGACAAGCACCCTCTCTGGGTAAACCCTAGAACGGGTGCTTATGCAATTGAGAAGTAGATCCCCTTCTAGCCCCCTTCCCCCGCACTTCGCAAGCTAATTTTTATAATTTTATCATAAAATAAGGCTTTCTTTTTCGGCTATTCTTTAGCCCCCGGCACGCATACAAAAGGTGGGCAAGACGCACGTCCCTCTGTCCCTTACTTGTAATCGCTTAGGAAGTATATCCTCAAGGATACATGTACGTAAGGTATCCCTTCGTTCGCTGAGACATTGCCACATTAGCGGCCGTATATAAATATCCCTAATTTGGATTATGTTTTGGCCGAATTGGTAATATTCATATACGGCCGCTAATGTGGCAATGTCTCAGCGAATAAAGGGTTACGTGTATATACGCTCCTGTGAGGCGCCGAAGGCGCCGAACGCCGTGCCCCTAGCCTCCTAAGCTCCTAGTATTAGTGAAGAGGGGCATGATGGAACACAACACCTAACAGGGAATCAGCTGGGAACAGCCACGAATCAAGGAGGCATCATATCGGTGAAGTGTGTATTGGGTTGCTTAACGTCCCTTCTGTGAGAAGAGCGAAGGCTAAATACAAAAAGGATGTTGAACTAGCTAAAGCAATATAGCTAGGGTCACGTGCTTGCAATGTAAACCAAGTAAAACGTACTGAATTGACTGCTGTTCTACAGTGGTAAGTAGCCCGTATATATAGCCCTGAACCCCCTAAGTCACATGTACTAAATCCCTATGCTAGCTGAACCGATTACAGCTATACAGGGTATTCCAGCCGTACATGGTATTCCAGCTATACAGGGTATTCCAGCCGTATAGGGTATTCCAGCTATACAGGGTATTCCAGCCGTACAGGGTATTCCAGCTATACAGGGTATTCCAGCCGTACAGGGTATTCCAGCTGTACAGGGTATTCCAGCTGGACAGGGTATTAAGCTAGTGCACAGCCCCATGGCGTTCGGTTCCAGGGCTTACTAAGCCTATTAGGGGCCTCAGGCCCCTAATTTCAACAAAGGAGAGAAGAACTAAGGGATCACGTGAGAACATGTGATCATGCCAAATGTCGGCCCAATCCCCACCACATTAGTAGAGAATATACTTTAAATATAGATGTGCTTTGTATACAGATATGCCCCGTACGCAGAGTGTCCCGTACGCAGTTGTGTCCCGTACGCAGTTGTGTCCCGTACGCAGTTGGGCCCCATACGCCGTGAGGCGCCGAACGGGGTGCCCCTAGCCTATTAAGGTCCTAATATTAGTAGAGATCCTAATATTAGTAGAGAAATAAGCTTTAGAACTCCCAGAACTAGCGCTCTGTCTAGTTGCTAGGGTTAGGAAACAGATAGAATGCCATATATATGGTTCACAAGGAATGCCTTCGAGGCAAGGAATGCCAGCAGGTTTTTGAAAATCTCTCCACCAGTCTTATTGGGATATAGGAGATGGCGTTCAGAGACCTCAAATCTATATATATAAAAGAAGAGTCTGAAAGTTAGGGAGATAAGAAAACCAAATAGGAAGTTGAGAACATTATACCCTGCACATATACAGTAGTTGAGATGTACCCCCTTATGTGCAGGATTACATGACTTTTAGCCTGGCCAGAATATTTTCGCGTTTTATACGCTCGAAAATCACGGGGGGAAAAATCGTTCGTGTAGCTTAAAACTCGATTACAAATCAACCACAAATCGTATCAAAAATGAAATTGACCACTAGATTTCCCTTGTCTTCGCTTGTGCTGAGTTCGAATTCATTCGTGAACACGAAACTCTACTTGTGGTAATCACACGTAGTCCACGAGCATTTCGGCTTGAGACAGAGTTTAAATTTGAGAGCAGTTCAAGTGTTTCTGGGAATCCTGATCTCGAAGCCGCAATAGGGACTTTCATTCGCAGATTGCCAGCGAAGAATTCCGCGGCGCATATGACTTCGCATATGGAATCGCAGAGAAGATTTGCAGTCTTAGATGCTACTGTTTCGTATCAAGATTGGTCTTTGCAGTGAAACGAGTTGAGGTTCCCATTCGGCGTGGGAACCAAAGGATTGTTAACTATACGTCTGTGTCGTTCGAAGGATGGTTGGAGGTTGCGGATTGAGCTTCGACGTCCTCCACGGCTCTTCTTGCTTCAGAATGTATTGTGGGAACGGGTTTCCTATCAAGAATGATATCAAGATGTTTGCATGAAAGGTCGCTGATTAATGTTAGGGTGCACTCGGCGCTGGCATCATTCCAAAACTCGTTGGATTTGCTTTCATAGGGGCTCGGGCTGTAGTTTGACTCCGTACTAGGCTTTCCGGGTTTAACCTCCCTGATTTTGCGGCAATTTCGGTGTCAAAACTCCCTCGATCACTTGATGACTTCGCATATCCGGAGAGATATGGACGAGGTATCAAGCAAGCCGACAAGTCGATTAGATACTCGGAATCTCTACTGATCGAGCCACGCCTCTATTGTGACGCCTTTGACATGCGCCCTCGCATTCTTGCTGGTGAGGAAAAGGAGAAAGCATTCATGGGTGCTGGTACCGGTATGCTGTACCAGTTCAGAACCGATATCATGAAATAGCCAGCTGTCCGAAATGTCACGAAGTTCACTTTGCTCTTCGCCTTCTTCCTCTGGTTGAAGTTCTCCGTCGCCCCGGTTCCTGGAGCTGGGAGCAGAGCTGCGCTGTCTTTGTGTGTCTCCTGGAGGGGGTTCGCTGACCTCATCGCCGCCCTCTGGTTGAGCCTCGCCCTCTTCGATCCGGATTGTCTCGTCAATTGAAGGCCTGTAGCGCATACAGTCCTCACTTCCATCAGTCCTTGGAGGAATTTGATGAGGCATATGCAGAGCCCAATCCACGCCCTGGATATCTTGGTCCTCCATCTCTCCAATGCGATGGCTCTCCTGTGGACGTGCGAACAATTCTCTCACCCCAGTGATAACTCGCTGCTGTCCTTCGCCTTCTCGCGAAGAAGCAGCGCGATCGACGAGGACCCTTATGCGTCTGATTGCCCTTTCCTTTCCGGCAATGCTCCCAAGATCCTCCCCACACAGGCATTGATCGGCTTTCATGATCTCCATCTGCTGGCAAATTTGCTTCAAATTATCCCGGAGCGGAACAAGTAGTTCTTCTACCTTCCGATCGTACTTGATGTCATGAGTAAGGCTGTCGTGATGTAGCATTGCCTCTAGCCGGCGCATTCTCTCCGTCTCGCTCGCTGATGCCTCTTCCAATGTACCGACAATAGCCTCGAAGTGAGTCTTGATCTTTCCAACCTCGGATTTGACTAATTCTTCCCACACATCGGCAGCGCCAGCCGCGCGGTCCACTGTAATCTGTGTAAATTGGTCTGCCGTGATCACGTTGGAAACTTTGCTATTGATGGGCTCCAGATGGTTCTTCAGTTGCTCTCGATTTGGTCGATTGTTGGGACCCCTTGCAATATGTTGGCGGATCCTTGTACGGCATGGTAAGTTGGCTCCAATGCCTGTTGAATCTTCGGCATTGTCGACATTTCCTTAGACATGTTGAGGACCATGTCTCCAATTCCATCAACTCTCTTGTATGTCAACATGTGGCAGCCAACAGCGCTTTGAAAATGAGATTCCATATTTTCCAGCGTGACCTTCAGCTTCGAAATCTCTGCCGATTTCGCCATGGCGGACTTCAAATTGGCGAGCAAGTCTCTGAGCGTGACTTTTGTGGTGGGAGCGTTGGCATCGAGGCTGACCGGGGGCATTACTTGGTCGGAGATTGGCTGTATAAGTAGATTGAGTTCTTTGGAAAGCTTGCCAGTCGCAGTGACCGCTCTCCCCAACTGTTCGTGGATCTTCTCAAGATGTTCGACCGTCACTTTCTCTAGCTGCTTCACTTGACCTCCAAATGGTTCCAATAAGTCGAGGCTGGGTTTAAGTGCGACCTCGAAGGCAGCTCCACAACCCCAGCGGTCACAGCTTTCAGCTCGTCCTTTATTTTCGTCATATCTTCTCCCGTAGCGCGCTTTCTCTCCTGATAGCATCTGCCATCGAGTTCAACGACCGCAAGGTTGGCTCAAGCACAGTAGAGACCATCTGTGAAAATTTGTCATTGGCCGCGGCCATTTTATCTGGCCTTTTAGCGAGATTGTCGATTTCGGATGTGGTCGTGTCCTTGGTGTCCTCAACAGCCTCTGCCATTGAGGCGAGGGTTTTCATTGCTACACTCAGCGGTACGATAACTTTTGTGGGAATCTCTTCTGCTTTGGCAGCCACCTCGTCCAATGTCTTCTTGATGTCGGTCACGCACGCTGGAACAGTACCGAGGTCTTCAATTCCACACCCCATAGGCTTCAAGCTTTCAACAACAGGTGAAATACCAGTTGCAAATACGCTCGGAAGATTGACGGTATCTGGCCACCTGAAGGAACAAGGATAAGTTGTGCAACCGATCACGACGAACAGATTTAGAGGCGGAATCCTCCACAACTGTCTAAGTCTTTCGCAAGACACGATGACTTGAAAGTCCTAACGTTAACGCCATCTTGGAAACCCCGATCAGCTCTGTCGGTGCCTGGGTTGTCAATATTTCGTTGGCCATGCCAGCTCCTTTGATGGCATCTGTTGTGATAGCCGTGGTGGAGAGATGCACTCTTGCACCGACCTTTCCTAGTATTTTGTTGAACTTTGTAGTAGAGTGGTCTGTGATCACCGCCACGGATGCGTCTGTGACGGTTTTGACGACAGTGCAGATCTCAGAAGGGTGCCGTTCTATCTGAACCTTCACAGTATTGGCAGTTGCTATCCTCTCTAAAAGCGACTTTTGTGCATGCTGTGATATCACCAGCATCCATGACCGGGTTCTTGAACTCGGCGTCAAAGTCTGCAATTTGTTGAAAGGTCGCATTGTCCTGGCATAGGCGGGCAAACTTTCTTTACGTTCTCTGCTGCATTGGGGATGGCGGTAATATTCCCGGTAGCAACGTCTATGCCTTTGGATATCGCTGCCACACCAGGCCTCATGCTCTCAAGCCCAGGCACCAGAGTCTCGTTGAGTACCCTTGACATGCTGTTGACATGCTCATTTACAGTGTTGAGTTTTGCCGACACAAGTTTCCAAGAATCGCTCTCGGTGACCTGCTTCTGGATCTTCTGAGGCAAACCTTCGATGTAGACCTGGAGTGTGTCGATGTTCTTGTGCTTCCTGCTCTGTCTTCTCTCTAACTCTGAGATGTATAGTCTCTGTGCTTCCGCCCTTCTGTTTTGTCTTTCCCCAAGGACTTGAAAACCATTCATGCACGTGTCGAAGTGTCAGCTCATCAGTCTGATTCTGAATCATTGCCTCCAACCTCCTCTCCACGGCGCGGGGCCCCTCTATTCGACTTTCGAACTGCTGCTAGAGGCTGGAAGATTGCTTCTCTCGCCGAATATGCTCCTGGTCGAGTTTGTGGAGTAGTTTTGTGGAATCCGCAATCGTCTTCTGCCCATCATCAATCAATTTACCCCTTGTCGAAACAATCTCCTTTCGAGCTTGAAGTTCCGCATTGAGCACTTCAATTTGACGGTCGCTGTCTGCCAGCTAGCTCTCTACTCTATCCAGAATAATCGACATCTTCTCGGATTTGGCCTGCCTCTTATCGTTTTGTTCAGGCTGTCCCTCCTGCATCTGCTCACAGAAACTGAGAATCGCCAAAAGCACATTTTCTTTACAATCATTTGCAGGTCAAGGCCTCCGCGATCTCGTGAATTGGTTCGCCAACCTCGAGGCGCAGTCGCTATCCTCCCGCGACCCCGTATGTTGTGCAACAACATCCGGTCTCTCTCTTCGCTCAGTTCGACTTATGTCTTCTCCCCCAGCACGGCGGCGAAGTCTGTCATTTCGACACAGGGAGAACGTGTCTGTGCCGATCTCGATTCTCCTGAACGCCCAGCACCTCCCGCGCGCGATTTTTAAAGAGAGGATGTTTACAAGCCTGAGGGATGATGGTTTGCTGCGGATATCTGCAGATTCAGATTCGCATGGCGGAGGAGCTTCTTGGGGCATGGTCAAGTTGTGTCCAAGCTGGCAATTGACCGAAAATTGCGGGCACAGGAGCGAAGCTACCAACATCAAATCTGGATAGGTTAAAATAGATATACCATCAAACTCGGGGTGTAAAGACAGTTCCACAACTGTGAGGAGCAATTGGTCGCTTTCTCCTCATCTAGTAAGAAAGAAAGTTGTGGAAGCAAGTGGATTTGAGTGGAGGGTGTGCATATTTTGGATGGATGCAGTTATGCTGTCGCCTGAGCTGGAGCTACATAGCCATCGCCCGTTCCAAAACGGAAACCCCCCTTCGATCCAACGTGCCCACATCGCAACATCCTCACCTGGCCGCCACCCGGGGAGCGTGTCTCAACTGCCATAACCAGCTTCTTGTCTTTATCCTCACACAGCGTTGTCACCACGATCTTCGCTGGCCGTCTCTAGCGGAGTACACGTTCACATGGCCAAGGGCACATTGAAATCAAACTGCTCGTATATGGTCAGACGAAAGCATTCACCGCAGCCCAAAGGATCACCGCACAGCACAGCCAGATCAACCTCAAATTGATCAAACAGATTGCTCTCCCTCTCATCAAATAAAGGCTTGCTACTGGACTTTTATATGGCATCGGCAGGGAGCTCACGGGGCAATCGTCCAGCTCATCGATCTATGCAGAGCAGGAGAGATTATCAAGACAATTCGCTCCACGCAGAAGCAATCCGTAGAAAAAATCCCCTGTAGCGACCACTACGCCTCCATCCACGACTCACACACCTCCTGCCTTCCTGATTGCGGTATGCAAGAGATACGTTAGTGGAGGAGAAGATTGGCAGGATTGGAGTTGTCTCTCTCATCAAAGAAGACTCATCGCGCGTTGCAGCACTCGACAATCAGATAGTGAAAGGGTCTAGGCAAAATGACACCGAAAACAAGGTCGACTGCCGGTAGCCAGGCTGCTCTCAGCAGTCACTCAATCTCATGACGCCGCAGAAGCTACCATCGACACCCGAGCAACGAAAAAAAACCAGCGCCCAGGTGGACCGAAACAAGCGAATCTCGATCGATAAGCCAAGCAAAGGACCCCATAATCTCCAATCTCGAGATACAGACCACCGACTCGGAGCAGTCAATCTCGCAGCTTCAAGAGTCATGCGGTCAACAGCAGGTCAGAAGGGACATACTTGAATTGAATTCTGGGCTGTACATGACCAGGCTGCTGACAACTATCATTTTAGATTGCAGATCGCAGAGGATGAAGCCCTGAAGTACTCCGTTAAGATATGCAACCGGATTAAACCAGGTACCTCTCTTATAGACTTCAAGGGACTAAAGTGCGCACCGATCCAGCTTGGGGATGACTTTAATGATGTGGGACTGAGACCGGTTAAGCATTGAACGTCACAATATCTCTGTGTCATGGTACATGATCTCCCAGTAGATATAGATGATGTGATAGGGGCTAAAATGGCCGGCAAAAGGGTGGAGCTCCATCTGCTTTGGCTCGGGACCCGCATGCGGAATGTTGAGGTGTCTTGCAGACTTGCAACTAGCCAGCGATTGCCGTCATGACCGCATTCCCGAAAGACATTATTTATTACTTGTCGCCCAGGTCAGTTGCGCTTGTTACCCTTTTCACCACGATCTCAGCACTTTCAAGGTCTCCGGAGACCCTACGAAACGATGTGTGGATCAAGATGCAGGTTCACATTACCGCGAGGAGCAATATCTCATCAACTTATTGGGATCTACTGGCATGGTTAGCTTTTGCTTGGTTCTTGTCCCATGGGCAAATAGATCTGGATTAGTATATTAAAACGAGAAGAGGCAATCTAAAATCTTAATAACTCGATTACGATCCTCCTCGACTTCTACCCGATTGTCTATATCCTCGGCATTTATATTACCCTCGGCATCTATATTAACGCTAAAATTCATATGTTAAAGGGTATTTATCTCGAAGAATAGCAGGTGATCCTCCCTACGGGATCTAATGGCGAGAATGTTAATATGGCCAGACAATATATTTTTATTGAGTATAACTATACCATTATTACCGACTTCTGCTTTGTGTGCATTCTCGGTAGATCTACCTTATTACTCAAACTCTACTATTCCGCCTCCGGGTGCGGTTTCTAATCGCAAGGGCATCCTGGCTAACGGATGCGATTAAACCACGCGATCGCTTGTGGAGTCAGCAGATTATTATGTTGATCCAGTCAGCTAATTAATAATTAGTTCTTGCGGTCTTGGTGTAAGATGATCCCGGATGGTGATGAAAGATTGAGGTCATCCTGGACGCCTGGCCAAGCAAGGTGGTAAGAAAGAATCCGCTTGTGATGCTCTAGGAAATGGATATGGACGACCACTAAGCTCAACACTAGTCCGTACAGCTGCACATGATTGCTTTGTCGTCCTGAGCTTGAATCAAGTCGATGATGCTAATAAGTTTAATAAACTTTTTGAAACATGCGGTGGCAACAATACATGGGACTGTGTTTCAAAATCCACGAAGCCTGAATTACTCGTCCTATCCTAAGTGGCAATCCAGAGATCAGATGGCATGGCCCACTTGACACACCACCACCGGTGATCACACTTTAATTCTAAGCAATCGCACTGCTTCGTCATCACGTGGACGAAATGATTAGCTCCATGTCCTGTTTCCAGCATGACCAAACATCCTCGTGCTTGCTAGACTAACAAACAGGCCATCAACCGCGGTTTCCATTCATCACGAGATCAAGCCAATCAACTCAGATACTCCAGTATCTTAATAGGGAACAATTTCAACGTAGGCAGTGACGCCGTCCTCTGGACCCCCTGTTGGCTGGTGCTACACAATCACATCATCAAAAGACCTCATGATTTGAACATCTTATCAAACTATCACAATAAGCAAGCTGCTTACCCACCAAGTCCATCAACCCCATTTATCAGACAGAAGAAGTATAAGTACTGCCTCATCTCATTTCCAAATTTTCACGCCTAACTACTAATTTCTTATATATATTTCAAAACAGATAGCCACAATAGTAATTCGCCTTTGCAGTCATTACACCTCTTCAGTAAAGCAGAGCTAATTTGAGTATCTCCAAACCCCTCTCTCCTTCCTTTCCCCTATATATATCCAATTCTCCAAAGATTCCTTTAATTTTAAATAATCGACACCCATGTTCTGCGACGTAAAACCCCCCTCCATCCCTCATGTCATATTTTTCAAGACTTACAATCATCCACGACATAAACTCACATTACACAAACAACAAAGCACAGCCTACAGAACAGCAGTGATAGGTTGGAAATGGTCACTGCGTTACCTGCCTTATTCGCAGTCCCGAGTCGACAAGATTCGCAATACTCAAACTCCTACATCAGACGCAACCAGTTCCATAGCTGGGATGAGATTGGTGGCTGTAAGTTCGACTCTACAATCTATTCTCTTCGAACAGATGCTAATCAAAAATTCAAAAGGCTCAAACCCATGTCCTGACAAGTTTGCATGCAGCAATTGCACGACGTCGGGTTATTTGTCAAAGGGATGTGAGTAATATTAATTTCGATTTATTTCCTCGTAGGTCTCTAAACATACTGATCCTGAAGGTCGTAAACCGGAACCTCGTTCGCCCAAGGGCGTTGAGTGCAGGAAGTGCGGTGAAAGTATGTTGTGTTAGTCTAACCAATTCCGTCCAGTTGTGCTAATAGCAATAGTTGGTCACTTCTCTCGTGACTGCCCTCAACGAGGTAGTGCCAGTGGTGCCAGTTCTCGCTAAAACTATGGCAAAGAAGGTCATCGTAAGCAGGACTGTACGAACACACGCAAGATTGTTTGCCGCAACCATGGCGGAGGGGTACATGGCTCACCAGTGCCGGGAGTGCCAGTGCTCACTAAAACCGTGGCGAGGAAGGTCATCGCAAGCAGGACTGTACGAACACACGCAAGATTGTTTGCCGCAACTATGGCGGAGGGGTCCACGGCTTACCAGTGCCTGGAGTGCCTCGAGCTGAAAGATTGGTCTCGCGTTAAGTGCTCTAATTGTCAGAGTATCGGTCACGCCATGGTCAGACGCGAGAACCCAATTCCTCCTAAGTAGGATGCTGACGCTGGCGCGATTGGTATCACCCAGGCTTCCTTGGAAATTCTGGATGCCAAGCTGCTGCTATTGGCGCAGCCTTGTTTTCCTTCTTGAAGGCTAGTCCCTCTCAGTTATCCTGTTCACGATAACACATTTGACAAGATGACCAGCGAACTCGCCGGATAGTTAGGCTCAATTGAGAGAAAGGAGATATTCAACCTTGCCCGGCAGAAATTTCGTTCTCAACATCGAGAAGCAGGACATCGCAACTACCAGGTTTACAATTCAACACCACATGCTGTCCTGAGCGACGATCCACGAGTCTTGGAAGTCACGGAGAAGCAAGACAGCAGTAATTTATGGTTGAGTGGTCGCCTTCAACAAAGCAAGAAGAACAGCAACCATTCATCATGCCCCCGAGGGCCATCAACCATGCCGCTGCATTTGCGTACATGGCCAAGATTCCAGTGGATGACGACATTGGTTATTCCTCGGAGAGAAACCCAAGCCGTCATTGGCAATGATCCCAATTCCAGCAGATGAAAGTGAGATTTCCCTTTTTACTTTGGGTAGTAAATTGCTAATGTCAGATAGAAAAATAGGACTGTCAAAGGATTCGAAATGCATCTTGAGATAGCAAGATCTGCGATGTAGGTGAACCCTGCCCACGAGATATCAACCATTCCCCTAAGAGATTTGAACACACACTTTTATCATTCAGTTATGCGACTGCCTCAAGCTAATACTCCAAGAAGTTCAAAGAGCGTTTCTGAATCCCATGGGACAAATGCACAGATATCTAGTCTATTTGAGGGCCTACATCCCGATTTGGGTCCAAAGTGCTTTGATCTATAGGCACCGGCATCACAAATCCTATGTGGGGACACGCCCGGAGCGCTACTTCCCGGCATGCACAACGAAATGATACGCTTTTGACACCACGACGAACTATATCGCCGATTTATTAGATAACGGCTGACAACATCCCATACTAAGAGCAATCTTCTAACAGGGGCGCAAACGGTGTTCTCCTATGCGAAAGAGCTTCTTTGGAACGATGTTGGGCGGTCTTGGCGTATGGAATAGATCAAATAACGGTACAAGGCTTCATCTGGGGGTGGTATTGCCTGTGATTTGCTCTGGGCCATCATTTATGACAACACCAAGTTGTCGAAGAAGGGAAACTAAAGCTTCAATAAGCTTGCAATAGATGAGTCCGAGAAAGTGCATATCCGGGAGGGTCAAGATGGACGACGTCAGATTGATACCTGTTCCGGAGTGCTGGGCATATAGCGGATGACCATCAAGGAACAATTCGAATGGTGCGGACGTGGAATGGGCACTCTCTAGAGAGGCTGTGGAAATGCCCAAATGTGCATATTCTGTGGATCGAAAGCTGGAATAGAAGATGGCGAGGGATGGACAAGCAAGGCTAACCGGGTCTGGATGAATGGGTACAAGAGAGAGATGAGTATTGCTGGAGGTCCAGGGATCATTAATAGAAAGATAAGTGACGATAATGGGGTTTGGAGGTGCAGATCTGGGTGTTGAATAACAAAGATGGCCGTTAGATTACTCAATCCGGAAGTTTCATTCTCTGCGGTCCTTATGCCATGAATAACACGTCCTCAATTACTATAAATGTGCTAATATAGTCAGGTAACAGATTATATGCCTAATTGCAAGCAAAACTAACTAGCCTGTACTAGTATATATATAAAAGAAAAAACTCCCCAAATATATTCTAGATAATAAGAATTTATTCTTTACTTATTATGACGGCGCTGGCTAGGGTCATAAGGGGGGTGGCTGTTACATGACTGGTTTCACCTAACCAGCCGGCGTTTCAGTGGTTTTAGCTAGTATTCCCTCCTTTTATCCTCTCCTTCTCCCTCTCTCTCTCCTTCTTCTCTTTAGCTTAGTATTCTCAATACATGGGATTCTCTCGGATTTTTGAGCCTTGGCTATTGCCTTGATCCCGCCCTCACAGCTAGAGAGTTTTAGAGAGCTATTTAGCTAGAGAAGTATAATTAATAATTAAATTCTTGTAATTTTTGAATATAATTAATGCGCGGCAACTCGTAATACTAGTTTCTATACTCGAAAGCTATTACACTAATACTTTTTAACTTAGTTTCAAGATATTTAAAGATAAGAAAAATAAAATAATAGAGCTTATATGCTTTAAATTAATTCTCGGCCTAGAAATACAAGGATAACTATGCTAGAAAACAATGAGGAGCACGAATTACCATGTTTCCCAGTGATTAGAAGCAACAGAATTACATTCGGTATAGTTCAAAGTGGGGATGTGGCCAAGGCAGAGAAGTGGAAATAGTTGTTATGCTGCGATCGAGATTTGATATCCTCAAGGATTGTTTCAATCTGTAGCCAGTATAGAGGTCGTTATGGAAATTCAATGGCAGGGTGGGCAATAAATATTGACACTTACAACAAGCGAAACAAGGAAACACTGTGAACGACTCACAGCCTGGCCACTTTCAAGGTTCTGGGCCAGGGATGCAGAGCGTTATATAACTGCTGCAAGAAGACTCAGCTCACAACTCTCCACTTTCTGTTCTCTCCGGTCAGCATCTCAATGGCCCTGCTTTCAAAGTTGGAAAGGAAAGCAACAATATCCTCCTCCCCACTAACCTCGAGGCTTTGCTCATCCAAATTCGAATTCAGCAATAGCACACGCGTCCCTCATGTCTTTCTGTCGTTGATTCCCCTAGATGTCAACCGATAACCAGCAATCTCACGTATTGAATTGTCGTTGTCGCTTCGAGGACATAAATGCTCCTTTTCTGTCTGCTTAGCTCAAAAGATATTGTTCAATGTTTCTTCCTTAGTTTACCTCGTCTTTATCTTGACTACTGGACAATAACTCTACACCTTAGATATGGCACAAGGAGTATCTTATCCACTCTATTTTAGTTCTGACCCCTTCATGACAAACATCGAAGACGCTGGTCTCTTTGCTCCCCATTAATAATGAGAAAACTCGTTGTGGCGTGTTGAAATAGTAGACCCGAGTGTCTTTAAGCGAAGGGAAACTTCGAATCCCTTTTGAAGCATTGGTAGGAAGCAAGGAAGAGTGCTCTTTTTGTCTGTGCATCCATTTTGAATTTGAGCTTCCCAAGAAGTTTCATTCAACTCGAACGGCCGTGATAAATTGTCGAAACATTTTTCTATTGGATAGACTGATCTTTGGGCTATCGAGGAAGGTTCTCTGTTTCCAGCGCTTCAAAAATAGGAGCTAGATATTCTCCGGAAAACTACCATGCAAAAGCGACTGAGAATGACATATATAATGGTTCAACTCAAAGGCAAGACGTAGGTAGGTATGGGATTAGGATCTCCGGGATCTGTTTTTATCTCCTTCGAGCAGATATCTGCAGTTGAGCAACTATGTTGGGAGATGATAGAACTGCTGTTTTCTGCGAAAGTTTCTTTCCTGTACTGGATCGAACGATCAATTGAGGGTTTAGGGGACCGATAAACTCCAATAATGAAGATAAGTCGTATACTATGAATGCTTTAGCTGCATTCTCAAACTACAAGATGGGTATGCCAGATCTGAGATATCTCAAATTATCCGAAATGTGTGTAATTCTCATCATCATTTCCCAGCCGAGTTTCCGTCCCAATGCGCTATAGGAGATCACTGTTCCGGCCTCTACCACTTCCACTTCAGGTCATAGAAACAGAGGTAGTCGAGGCCCTATCAGCGTCGTCCCAACCTCCATTAGCCGACTTCTATCCTGCTCCGTGTGATAGATCTGCCATATAGTGGTCCCAAATTCCGCCATATATAGCACGTCGAATCTTCCAAGTCCGAGAGATGTGTTCCAGCACTGTTTCCAGCACTGTGCAAAGAGAGGTTGTTCAATTTCCGGGGGAGAAAACTCGCTCTCGTCTCGTGGTGATCCTCTTCTTTTTCTCTCAAGCCCAGGAACTGTGCGTCTAGCAACCCTTTTGAATGTTTTGACACCAGCTCCTGCCTGTGCTTTTATGTCGCCTTTGACTTTCTCGCTTTGATTTTCATCCCACCCAAGCGCCAAATCGCTAAGGTCGCAATTTCTTTTAATGATTCCAAGTCGGACTCCTTAGACTCCTTTTCTGCCATGGGTTAGCTTTTCAGTTTTCTGAGTAGTTTTCTAAGTGCTGGTATTGGCAGGAAATTCTCTCTATTTATGGCCTTATGACTTGGCATTCGGGAATCCGCGCTTCTCAGAAGGAATATAGAGTATGTCCCTTATAATAATAATAATTATTATTTTCATATCATTATTATTATTTATATTCAGCGGAAAACTAGAAGAAACTAGCTTTCTTGTAACATCTTATGAGATATAATAATATACTAAGCTTTTAGAAATTATAAAACAGACTTCTCTTTAATAAAGTAATTAAAACTATAATAGGAAAAATATTTCCTTTACTAAATAGCCCCGGGTCCCTTTATTCTGCAATGTTTTAATACTTCTATAAACCTTATAGAAGCATTTCTAGTAAAAGCAAATATATAAAAGGTTTATAAACACAAACTTTTCTAACTATTTGACATAGATACTAGATTATATTTAGTATACCCCAGATAATCCAAATTTCCCTAGACAAGTATAAAAGAGAGGAATATCCTTGTTCCTTTCTCTTATTTAAAGCCCCTCCCCGTATACTATTCTAATGTAAATATTCTCGTGTAGGTATTGGGTGGCATTTCGTCTCGTGAAATCTCGAAGGCTGCAGCAAAAAGGCTTCAATCTCTCTATGGCTGCGGCTGGGGAGCTGAGAATACCCCGGAGAGGAGTACAGGCTTATAGGACCGGCCCTTCTATTGGACGGTGAAAGAGGATCGGAAGTTTCTGGTGTCTACAGGTTGTTTGGCTTCAAAATAAGCTTCAAAGATAACCCTTGTCACTTGCATTCCGGGAGCTTGCCTAGGGTCTCACTGCCTTTGACTTGACGAAATAGTAGCGTCAAATGGATAGATCCGGAGCGAAGCGGACAGTTATAGAGGAAGGTACTTTCAAATTCTGGATGCCTAAATGTAACTATGCAGCCAGCAAAAGAAACCCCTCCTCCGATCTTCACATAAAATAGATAAGCCTGCTGAATTTGGCTTTCTAGATGAACTGCATAAATGACAGATTCTGGTGGACTTGATTTAAGCGGACCCGTATCAAGTTTAAAAGGGTGACAGAGGAAATTAGGAACAGAAGGAGATATGCAGATATTACGACAACATTCGGGCCTGTATTTGGGGAGCGGCACTAGCTAAATATAAACTTACTTTTTAATTATACGAGAACTAGAGACTTCCGCATTAATTCCTCTTATAATATAACGTATTATTATAAGAATTATCAATTAATAGCACCAATTCAATGCGCAAGTCTTATTTATAACTTATAAATATTAAAATTATATATTGTAATAAATATAAGTTTATATTTGAATTATATAAGAACCAGAGATTTTCGTACTAATTCCTCTTATGAAATAAAGTATTAATATAAGAATTATCGATTAATAATACT